TATAATATAGTGTCAATATAGATACATGTATATATATTATTAGTATGACCATTTGAGTAGCAAGAATTTCATTCAAAATTAAGAATCAAGACTGACATTTCAGCAAGATTTAAATGTAAAGCCAAGTTGTGGTTTTATAAGAGAGTAAACATGGTTTCTATTGATCTGACTATTTCGATTTGCCCCAGACGACCCATGATTTAAGTTTTTTAGATACATTTTTCATAAAAGCAAACTTTTAACTATGTTTGATGAAAAAAAGAAGAATCTGCTCAGGTGATCTTAAAATGCTTACTTACATCAAAGAGTTTCTTTTTTGCACTTTGTGCATGTGTGTCTCCTTTTAAATATACAGGATCAGAAAGTAGTTGTTGTAATACTTGAAGTATTGCTGAAGGTCTTTGTCCTCTACCTCTAATTCTGATGTCTTACAGTCCTACCAATGTCTCTTGCCTATAAACAAATAAAATGAAAAGACAAGTTCATTACCGTGACACACGATAAGCTGTTAACTAATACAAAACAGCATTTCGATCTATAACTTTATGCAAAATTAACTAGAACTGCCACTGTCATGGCCTGAATACCCCCGCATACCACTTTGTCAGAATCAACAGTGGCCATTTAGAGCCCAAGGACAACGTCCCTGCCAAATCATAGGTTACTTAGCCAGTGCTATGTATTCTACATGCTTCAAATGTGAAAATGTCAAAATCAATAAACTGCGGACAGGATATTCTTAAGCAATTGAGGGGAAAAGCTTTTTTTAGTCGACCTTTGACCCAGTGACCCTCAAAATCAATAGGGGTCACCTTATAGTCATGATCAACCTCCATGCCAAATATGAAGACTGTGGGTCAAAGGAATATAAAGTTAATGGATAGACAATCTTTTTGAAGTCAAAGTCCATGTGACCTTAATCTTTGACCCAGTGACCTTAAAATAAATAGGGGTCACCTACTAATCATGACTAACCTCCATGCCAAATATGAAGACTGTGGGTCAAAGGAATCTTAAATTATTGAGCGGACAAGCTTTTTTCAGTCAAGGCCCCTGTGACCTTGACCTTTGACCCAGTTTAATAAAAATAAATAGGGGTCATCTATTTATCATGACTAACCTCCATGCCAAATATAAAGACTGTGGGTCAAAGGTTTCTTAAGTTATTGGGCCAACAAACTATTTGAAACCAAGGCCCCTGTGACCTTGACCTTCGACCCAGTGACCTCAAAATCAAAAGGGGTCATCTACTAATCATGACTAACCTCCATGCCAAATATGAAGGCTGTGGGTCAAAAGAATCTTAAGTTATTGGGCAGACAAGCTTTTTTTAGCCAAGGCCCCTGTGACCTTGACCTTTGACCCAGTCAACTTAGCGTCAATAGGGGTTATCTACTTATCATGACTAACCTTCATGCCAAATATGAAGACTGAGGAGCAAAGGTTTCTTAAGTTGTTGGGTGGACAAACTTTTTAAAGTCAAAGTCCCTGTGACCTTGACCTTTGATCTGGTGACCTCAAAATCAATAGGGGTCATCTACTAATCATGACTAACCTCCATGCAAAATATGAAGACTGTGGGTCCAAGGAATCTTAAGTTATTGGGCGGACAAGCTTTTTGAAGTCAAGGCCCCTGTGACCTTGACCTGGTGACCTCAAAATCAATAGGGGTCATCTACTCATCATGACTAACCTCCATGCAAAATATGAAGACTGTGGGTCAAAGGAATCTTAAGTTATTGGATGGACAAGCTTTTTGAAGTCAAGGCCCCTGTGACCTTGACCTGGTGACCTCAAAATCAATAGGGGTCATCTACTCGTCATGACTAACCTCCATGCCAAATATGAAGACTGTGGGTCAAAGGAATCTCAAGTTATTGAGCGGACAAGCTTTTTGAAGTCAAGGCCCCTGTGACCTTGACCTGGTGACCTCAAAATCAATAGGGGTCATCTACTCATCATGACTAACCTCCATGCAAAATATGAAGACTGTGGGTCCAAGGAATCTTAAGTTATTGGGCGGACAAGCTTTTTGAAGTCAAGGCCCCTGTGACCTTGACCTTTGACCTGGTGACCTCAAAATCAATAGGGGTCATCTACTCGTCATGACTAACCTCCATGCCAAATATGAAGACTGTGGGTCAAAGGAATCTTAAGTTATTGGGCGGACAAGCTTTTTGAAGTCAAGGCCCCTGTGACCTTGACCTTTGACCTGGTGACCTCAAAATCAATAGGGGTCATCTACTCGTCATGACTAACCTCCATGCCAAATATGAAGACTGTGGGTCAAAGGAATCTTAAGTTATTGGGCGGACAAGAAAAAACCGACGGACGCCCGACGGCCGGACAGCCGGACGGACAAGCTGATTCTAGTATACCCCCTTACAACTTTGTTGTGCGGGGGTATAATGAGCTAGTAGTACTTACAGATTGCATGTCAATGTACAATAAATGCAATAAATGCAAATTTACAGATTGCATGTCAAAGTGGGTCTTTATAGCTCATAATTATACATGTACACATTTTCCTATTAAAATATATTTATTATTACATTACAATTATCATTTATCAAAATCATGAATTCACTACTTTGTAATTTGTTTTATTTTTTTCTTCCAATAATAAATAATATAGTTATAAGTTACACAATGCAATGGTGACTATAAACTTACTTCAGTTATTAATTATTGCCCAGCGTAGAATTTTCTTTATGTGCAAGTATTGATCGTGTTTCATTTAAAAACAGTCGCAATTGCAGCTTTTTAAGACATGAAATATAAAGAATTATTTCATGTGAATCAGAATAAGCTATATATCACACATTGAAGAGAGAATATCTACATTTTCCATTCAAATTTCTTACTTCTCAGTGTAATATATAGCATATTACTCAAAACAATCATCCTTTTATATATCCTGAATTTATTTTCTTATGCCCTCTTTTTTCATCACAATTTACAATTTCACTGACCTGTTCAAAAATGTTTTTCTTGTTGCCTAGCTTTTCGTGTACTTTCAACTGAAAGTCTTTGTAATTAATGATAACACTAATGATTCCATTGAAGTCTGTTTCTTGTGCACAAGCTACATCTTTATATCCATCAGGGGGCATGAAACATTTAGCTATCTCCCAGGAATTACTGCACCACTGTGTAGCATCAGTGTTTTTGTATGATGGACCATAGTACCTATGTACATTCTGTATCTCTGTTGTAAAATTATGACATATCTTGTTAGGGCAGCCGGCAGGATTATACCTTGTTGCAGCATTTCGATGATAACTGCATCTTCCACGTCCAACATTACATATTCTATTTGTTGGACATTTAATAACATTTTCCGTACAGCAATTTGAACAAAAAGTCCCACTTAAAAGTCCATTGCTGTAACATATATCATCTAAGCATTTCTGTTGAAATTGTTGAATTTCATTGCAAACAAAAGGTTCAATACCTTCTTTAGTAAACAGGACAGCCAACTGGGCTTTAACCCAGTTATTGTATTTCTTTTCTAACAGCTTAGGGCTGTATGAAGCCATTGCTTAATCAACTGTATAATACTAAGAAGATAAAATATTTTCATTGTTGAATGTTGCCATCTGAAAAAATAAAAAGAGATTACACAGGGATTAAACAAGATGGCTATGATAAGAGCTAAACTGCTCACTTGATAATTGCAAGTGGAAACAAGATTGCATTTGTGAAAAAAATGCAATGCAACCGCATTAACACAATACTAAATTGTAGGAACAGAAGTAGATTTTTTTGGTTCTCCACAACTGAACTTTGCCATAATGCAGTAGTGTCTAGTGAATTTTGGGGTCAAGTCATATTTCAGCATGTCAAATGAAAAACAATGTGCAGATGTGTCTAATGTTCAAAGGATATATAATTAAGTACATGTATAACAACTGATTCAAAATAAAGGTACATGTATTCTTACTTGATAAAAGTTTAGGTAGTTTCTGTCTCACATGTACTAGCCATATCAAACTTTAAAATACAGTTACAGTTATTTTTCTTATTAACTTTTAAGCATTACTTAACTTTTAAGCATTACTTATTTCTGAAAAAAACAAGAGCCGGTTGAACCGGGTGTTGCTCTCCGAATAGGTTTTGGACACAGGAAGGTATACCTCTTGTAGTGTCAGAGTTATGTCACAGACAAAGTTCAAAGTGTAAAAACAACCCACGACACATGGTTTCAATATGGTGATCATTTCTGGGAAATAGTTGTAAAATCAGACTTCAAATAACGAAGGTATGGGCCGGACACAATTTTGCTGCAAGTTCATGCTGTGACCTTGACCTTCAAGGTAGCAACCCAAATCTTGCATGCAACATGTCGATTCAATATGGTGATCTTCCTGTGAAGTAGTTGTTAAATCCGACTTCAAATAACGAAGTTATTGGCCTGACACAATTTTGCTGCAAGGTCATGCTGTGACCATGACCTTCAAGGTAGCGACCCAAATGTTGCATGCGACATGTCATCTCAATATGGTTATCATTTCTGTGAAATAGTTTTAAAATCAGACTTCAAATAACGAAGTTATGGGCCGGACACGATTTTACTGCAAGGTCATGCTGTGACCTTGACCTTCAAGGTAGCAACCCAAATGTTGCGCACTACACGTCATCTCAATATAGTGATCATTTCTGTGACATAGTTTTGAAATCCGACTTTAAATAACAAAGTTATGGGCCGAACACGAATTCGGGACTTACGTACAGACGGACGGACGGACAACCCGACGACTTATGCTCCCCCGAAATTTTTCGGGGAGCACACAAAAATTTATGATTGAATATCATTATGCCTGTAATATAATTGATGTGAATCACAATGTACTCAAATCATTTCATAAATATCCTATCTCTTGCTAGACTCGTCATAAATATTTTTGAAAAGCTTGCTAGAAGTCAAGACCTTCTTAATAGAGGTTCACTGGAAAATGTTTCATGCTAAATACCTAAGCTCAAGCCCATGTACATTTAGTTTTGAAGAATTTTTTTTTAAAGTTTTACTATATACATGGAAAGAAAACACATCAACCCTGGAATGGGCCAATTTTGAACCCAGGGCTATAATTTGAACAATCTTGGTATACACAATTCCTTTGTCAAAGATCTGCCGAAGGACAAGATTTTGGGCCATTGGCACTAAAACAAGAGCCACCGCCGGGCGGGGGCAACCCTCGACTTTTTACTTTTTCTAAAAGCAAACAAAGAACAGTTTGAACAAATCTTAACGTTTCCTTTATATAAATTTATCGGTCTGTCCTGTCACATTAGTTTTGTCTATATATTTTGTATATATAAAAATACTCATTGATATCTATAAATAGATGCACGCAATGCATTTTATAAATAGATGCATGCAATGCATTTTATAAATAGATGCACGCAATGCATTCTATAAATAGATACAAGCAATGCATTCTATAAATAGATACACGCAATGCACTCTATACATAGATACAACCAATGCATTCTATAAATAGATGCACGCAATGCATTCTATAAATAGATACAAGCAATGCATTCTATAAATAGATACACGCAATGCATTCTATAAATATACACACTCAATGCATTCTATAAATAGATGCACGCAATGCATTCTATAAATAGATGCATAGATGCACGCAATGCATTCTATAAATAGATGCACGCAATGCATTCTATAAATAGATGCACGCAATGCATTCTATAAATAGATGCACGCAATGCATTCTATAAATAGATGCACGCAATGCATTCTATAAATAGATGCACGCAAGTGGTGGTGGTGGTGGTGTTGTTGTTGCTGTTGCAGTTGTTGTAAAATCCAGCGGTCAGGTCTCTGTCAAGTTACGCTTGTGGTGACTTCATGTTTACATATCTTCTTAAAACTTGAAATGATTGTAATGACAACTTTAATTTTTTTAAGAGTAATTAATTCCCTACCATTTGGTACCAAGATATGGAAAATTGGTGAAAAATGTTGGAGTTATGGAGTTCATATTAAGATGATTGCTGAAAAATGAGCGGAGAGTTGCATACCTTTACTAAATATATATATAACATTTTTTTTATTTTTTGTGGGAAATGAAGGTAATTGAATTAAAGCAGCTGACCTCCAGAAGATAGCAGAAAAACTGCCGTCTTTCTAATATTTCAAAATCCCCCCTCAAAATCATTATATAGTTGAAAGAAATCGAAATGACACTTCAAAATGTTTATATTTTAACATTATTGCTTTGAAAACAAACAGTTCGCTTTTCCACCAACGGGAAATACCCTCTTTTTATAATACTACAGAATCCTTTCATCCGGGTTTCTTTCTAGTATCACATGATCGTACAGGACATTATCGAGACCTGTGCTCCGGAAAGCACGGAATCCGGGACTTTATCAAACACATAGGATTAAGAATAACAGCTTTTGTTTTTTTTATTTGTTGTAATGCATGGCACTAAAATTGTAATTAATTAATTATTTCATATATATGACGACCAATTCATCGATTTAACATTTAACTTGAAATATGAAAGGGGCCTATTCAATGACGAAAATTGATAAACGATCCCGGGCATAGTAGTAGTATGGAAATGATTGCGAAGCGTTCCCTGAGCCTGAGCAGGATCGGGATCGGGGATTAGTTACGTAATCGTTTAAGGATTAGTTACGTAATACAATAACAATACGATAACAATACAATAACAATATATTTAAAATACAATTAACATACAATTACGAATACACAACTTATTTTTAATCACATTTGCTAATCCCATTTGAAAGGGAGATGATTATCCCTTAAAAAAATAAGTATAGCTTTAAAGTGCCATCAAAGATGGCGGAGTGTTTAATAAGCAAACAGTTCGGCCGAGATTGAATGGAGGCATTAGACGGTATGTATTGAAATGTTTTTTCATACACATCCAAACAACAATGACCAATGCATTAACATTCACGCTAATATATTGTCTGTCTGCCATGGGCAAAAAAAAATGGCGGCGAACGAAAATGAGTTACATCCGGGCACATTAATGTTGTTTTACAAAAATGCAACAGTGCGTACGTACCCTATAAAATTGCGTTTTAGCGGAGACAATAGATTAAAATACTGACACCGCCATTTTGTTTTGTATTTAACCATTATGTATTACGGAAATTAATTCAAATGGACGGAGATAATGAATTCCATGTGTTATCTGTGATTGCTGTTCTAAATTGATCGTCAAATCCACTTTAATGCAAATTTGCCTTAAAAATAATACTGATAATAATACTACTAGTAATAGCAATTTATCCGACAATTCACCATGAAATTTGTATAAATAAACCAAATTCTATTAAAATATGACGTACTGATTATTAAAAAAAGAAAGAAAAAACACCTGCGATTGTTACTATAAAGTCAATAAAAATATATTGTATACAATGCAGTTACAATGAACACGCGCGAAGTTAAAATAAGTGATGGGCTAGGTCATTTATAGAGTTACCGAATCCAATTGATTCTTTTCATACATATTATTACCTCCCCTGGCCGCGCCATTTTGAGGGTCATTCTCAATATATATCATATGATTAAGATAAGAAAAAAAATCTGATATAATACTGTCATCTTCTTATAAACTGATGAACATCTTATACATATTCAATTTGGTGCTATAATAATATTTTCCTTTATATACGTATTAAAGAATTTGACAATTGACCAAAATTAGCTGTTCATTTCGATGCTTTCATATTGTGTCAATTCAATTGTCTGTCACTTTTGGTAAGGGAGGTAAGTAATGTAAATTTGGGAATTATCTATTTATCTGTAAATTAAACATTTTCTATTTATCATGGATGAAATGTGTTCCTCGAATGTGGCTCTGGATTTAAATGAAACGTAACTACATCGCGAAATAATAGCTCGTAAAGTTTCAGTCGAACCCCCGTGTTGAATTAATTAAAACACATACGCTAGAATGAAAAAATATAACGATTTGAATAATTTTGCCGACTCTTTGTCATCCGGAACATCTTTTTAAAATCTCGTTTATTCTTCGATATATTTTAATGTAAACAAAGCAATATCATGACCGATTTTTACGTTACAAGTGACAGTGCCATTTTTTATTGAACATCCTAATGAAATTTCAAAATTTTGTGACTAGAAGAGAGGTCATACAGGCGGTATCCGTTTAGATGAAAAACCACTGAACAAAATGCGGTTAAGATTTGACATGTCCACATGGTTGGTTTGTACATGTATGTACAATATAAGTAATCAGCAACTAAATAAGTGTACATTTAGCTTTTATATCTGACATGATTTTGGTCATTTTCAACTCGATATACATGTAATTGTTCATTTAATTAGATAAAATAGTTTCAACATTTCCGAACATTTACTTGTTAATCGTTTAGTGATAAACTGTTTTTAAGGTAGGTTAAAACGAAATAAAAAAATTCCCTTACCGAAGTATTCCAGAACGGATTATTATTATTCATTGTCATTTTCTTTTATATCAATAGAAAAAAAGAGTTTAATAAGAAGGAATCTGTAAAAGGCATACATTTCACAAAAGGCGAGCGTCCTTTTTTCGCTGGTGACGTAAATGATATT